ATTTACACGTGTTATAAAATTTTTTTGGGAGGGAAGAGCCCAAAAAAAAAATTTATTTTTGGCCTTTTCCCGGTGCTAAGAAAATTAGCCCAAAATCGCGACCCCCCTTCCTCGGGGGAAGGCCCCCCCTCCTTGCCCCGCCCAAAATCCCTCGGGGGGTTTAATTCTTGAGTATGTGGAGCCCGGCCCTTGGAAAACCCGCCTCCTTCCGCCCCGCATTGTGAGGGAGGCTGGCTCAAGAGCTAATCTTCCTCCGCCTGCCTGGTTTTGAATCCCCCCCCCCCCCCCCCCCCCCCCCGTATCCATCTTATGAGCAGGAGACCCCCCTGGACCTGGCCGGCCAAACGGGGAGCGATATCGAGGACGAGGCGAAGGTGGTGAGGCTGTTGCTCTCCAAGCAATCTCCGTCACAATCGCAAGCACTGGCAGCAGCCGGAGGCGGCGCGGCCGGTGCTGCTACTGCAGCTGCCAAGGCCGCGCAGGCTTTCCAGCAGCAGCAGCAGCAGCAGCAACTTCGCTGAGTTGTGGGGAGGGGGAGCCAGGGGCGGGGAGATTGGCGTCGTTTCCGGACGCAAGAAGTGATGGCCTGTTGTCACGGGGGGGGCCGCGGGTGTAGGCAGGGGGTCTGCAGTATCTTCCCATCCGGCATGCCTCCGCCTTGTCTCGTGTGCTGTCGTACCTTTACACGGGGGGGACCACATTGCACCTTCTCGCTCGGAGAGTTTTTTTTTGGTGTGGTGTGCCTGTGCCAATGAGTGTTTGGCGTGTGTGGCGGCCGGGGAGTGAGCGAGTCTCTCTGTTTTTCCTCCGCTGCTGTTGTTGGCCCTTTTCCCTCCGCTTCTGGTGTTGGGCCCTACATAAGAGCTTTTTTTTCGTTTAACCCCTCGGCCATTGATTGGTCCGTCCGTACCGGTCGATGGGAACGGGTCGACACGTAAGGTTTACGTTTTGTCGTCCCAATGGGACACTAGCCACCACGCACCGCCTGGCTTGCACCCACAATGTTCCCGACGATCTCTCCCCCCGTTTTTTTTTTATTTTGTACGCGGATAGTGTGGGTAGAAGGTAGTAGTGTTTGGTGAAAGAGGGACACGGGGGGGGGGGGGGGGGGGGGGTCCCCTTTTTTTTTCTTTTTTTTTCTTTCCATCCATTTTTCATTCACCCCGGGTGGGGGGGGGGGCAGGGGGCGC